AGGATGTCAGCAACAACGACAGCAAGTACGTGCCAAGGAAGCAGGGGACTGTGGGCCCCAACGGTCAACAGGATGCAACTTCTATCACAAACAATAGGCAATTTCCAGCTAGTGCCATCTTAACGCCGATCCATAAAAAGAAGGGTGTCATGAACAGTGCCAATCATGAAAGTGCGACTCAGAATGACACGCCACCGGTTATGAACTTCTCCTTCTTTCTCAATGTGCACTGTCTCACCTCCACTGAAGCAAAAGACTTTAAAACAAACGATTCGCCAAAGCAACAGCATCTTGACGACACCGGTTCAGGATCAAACGTAAAGCAGCCTCACTTGGTCCCGCGCTTCAAAGTAATTTCTTCCAAATCTAAGGCCGCCCATGCTGAAACATTTCCTAAGGAATGCTGTAAGCATTATAAAAGGCTTGCTTAATTCTTAGGTCTGACAGAGTTCTGTTCAGGTGTCCTTCGCCCTCTTCATATCACACAAAACTGACGAGTTGTGGAAAGCCTTCGTCCGTCACATTATCTGCAAAACGAGTTTAAACTTCATCATAAAAACACATTAGTCAACAATTCAATCAAATCAATAACTTAACTATACACCGGGGACGCGACGAGCATATAGTCGACCGTAAAGACATGTTCATGATCGTGAATTACACATCTGCTTCGTATCTGGCAGTACACGAGAGCAAAACAGCAGAAAAACGAGCCAACTCTTTACCAGCTGTCATCTCTAACGTACTAAGTCATCAATGCCGAAAACGCTGAACGCTCAGACAAACAAGAAAGCTCCATCGGACAGAAACACATCGTGATTCGCACTACTAAAATACATGCCAATCAAAGCTCAACACTGAAAATCACTAAGAAAGAGAGCATGTCAACCAATGGATACAAGCATATGAACAAAAACAGATCATCGAAGCTTCTTCGGTGAATCGAACGCGGAGAGCATCGAATGCAGCCAGCGTCTCGTCGAACGTCGGTTCGTCAAAGCTGCATACACAATCAGAAATTAAATTCATTAAAATATGAAATAACAACTGCTTTAAGGTACAAATATTATTTCTGCGAAATGGCTTAACTAACAGAAAGGAAACCCTTAACTTCGAAACTTGGTACATATGCCAACAAGAGATGCACTGCCACGAACAGTATTTAAAACGCTAAAGAAATGATCGTAAGGCACGATTACGCAATTCAACGCAACAATTTTCTGAACAACAACAATTTTCTGAAATTGACTACAGACTCGCCTGAATACCTGTAGCGATTTTTGAATGGTAAAATTGGCAGAATACTGCTCAAGCAATTTTACTTTGCAATTAAGAACATTAACAGCTTTGCAAAAAATTTATGGATCAGTTGGTCTGCAGTCAAAATCGTTGCTAGAATTGTTGTGGTAGATCATATTCTATAAAACAGCGCTGAACGACACTGTAGAAACAGTTTTGTGCTAAAACTGAGATTTAACAGAAAAACTCGCCTGAAATTTTTCACCGAATTAGATTATAGCGATGGTATTTTTATACTAGGCATAAGCTTTAACTCATCAGTTCAAATACAGCGAAAACAGACCCTCAGTTTAGTATTAAAGATTGAAAACTTATTGTCTTCATGAAATCACAGTAGAGAATCATTTTTCAGCATTGAACTACGCAGTAATGGACGATAGCGAGACATGTTAAGGATAGAAATGTGTTTGCACTATCATAAGTGTATAATGTACGCGTCAAAATTAAACTGTATTACTTTGAGGTTGTCAAATATCGCTGCTTCGCTGTATTGGAGTCCCTGAGGATGTTTGATGCCTCTGAGACAGTGATCTTCTGGTAAATCTCCATCTGAAAAGCGATGTTCACTAACTTAGATTTAGTGCTGGCGGTGTGCTCGTGAAGTAGGTGGTCTTGGTAGTTAAGGGTAGTGTTCCCATATGAATGCCATGCGACACTGCATATTCAGCCTCTGGCAACGTCAAGTCATTTAAGAAAAGAAAATTGAGCCTAAAAACATTCTTCAGTGATTGTTTTATTGCATTAAAATCGCATACTTGCAGTCAGGGAAAGATAACGCCGCTGAGTAGGTGCACTGAGGAAGAATGCACGCATATACAAATGTTTTAATGGTGA